CATCATCAGTAGCGGTACGGTCATGGTCATAATCAGTAGCGGTACGGTCATGGTCATCATCAGTAGCGGTACGGTCATGGTCATCATGAGTAGCGGTACGGTCATGGTCATCATCAGTAGCGGTACGGTAATGGTCATCATCAGTAGCGGTACGGTCATGGTCATCATCAGTAGCGGTACGGTCATGGTCATCATGAGTAGCGGTACGCTGAGTGGACTGCAAAGTGTGTGTGGGGGGGGGAGAGAGGGAGGATGTTTACCGCGGACCCATAGTAGATTTATTACCAGAGACAGGCCTGCCTTTCCTGCCAAGTACGACAACTGAGGTGCAAATCTCGATTAAATCTACGGAAAATTCACGGACCTGTTGTTAAAAACGAATATAACTACCACCAGAAAAATTATTCAGAAATGCTTGGTATAGCGATCAATGAAGAATAACGAGTTAAACAAACTGGTATCGCGAAAACGTTAGAAAAGTCGCTCGTTTTTCGATCCTCATGGTTCAAAATTTTCGTTAGCGATAACACTGGTAATACAAAGTTTACATAATTTATCTTAATGTCCACAGATTGAAAATAATTAGCCAGGATAGCATTCCAAATTTCAGATTTTTATCTTATTCATTAGAGGAGTTATGTGTCGAATTCATAGTTAAGAATCCCCATAGACGACTACCGCGGCTGAGCGCGTTGAACGGGCCTCTTAAGGCGGCGAGAAAACTAAGTGAATTCTCAGAGTTTAAATCAGTCTTTGTTAAGAAGGATGCTACCCCTTTAGAGAGAGCAAATTTTCGCAAGAAATGGCAAGAGAGACTCAGGCGGAAAAACACGGAGACTCAGGTCAACCCCTCTCACGATGTCACGATAACACCGGCCGCACACGGTCAGTCAGCGGAGCTGGTAGGCAAGTAAGAAGTCATGTCCATAGATTCAGGCCTATAAATAATGTAAGAAGTAAACGCATGCTTCAAAGTGAATGTGCACAAAAAGATTTAAAGTGTTTTTACACGAATTCGGATTCTGTTTTGAACAAAAAAGTGAGCTGTTAACTGTAATCAAAAACGAGTGCTTAGACATTATTTGTATTACATAAACACTCCCTAAAAATCACGGGCGAAAATTGTACCTGTTGAATTTCAGTTGCCAGGTTTTGATTGTTTTCATAACTTAAATGAAGAGCAGCGCAGTAGAGGTGTAGCTTTGTTGGTTAGAACCTCTTAGTACTAAACAGTCTTTGACCGAGCATGGCTTTCCGTAGGTTACACACGTTGATCGTTGGTGGTTTTAATCATCCAGACTCCAGAGCAAGACTGGACAGATGGATCCTCTCCAAGGGATGAGAATCACCCAGCATCCTTGTTCATGGAGTCTGTGAGAGACTCCTTCCTAGTCTAGCACGTTACTAAGCCAACCCATTATAGAAGTAAACAGACTCCCAATATTCTAGACCTGGTGTTTACTAATGATGAGTCAATGTTAGATGAGCTTCGTCACGAGGCTCCATTGGGCAAAAGCCATCACCAATCACTGTTTTTCAGTCTAAAGTGCAAGTTTGAATTTTGCGGAAGGCGACTATGATAAACTCCGTAAAGCAGTGAATGCAGTGAATATTTCGAACTGTATTAAGGGCATGAATGTGGCTGAGTCATGGTCATTTCTCAAGGACACGGTTATGTCTGCAGTGTACCTAAAATTAAGCTTGTTGGAGTCAAAAAACTCAGTGGATGAATAGTACAGTTCTAGCTAGGCTGATAACAAAGAAGGAAGCCTACCAGCGTTATTTACAGACTCATTGCGATGCTGACTATAACCTATACACAAGAGCTCGAAATCAAGCTAAAGAAAGCTGTCGCACCGCAGTAAAACCCACGAAAAAAAATATTGCTGAAAATGCAAAAAAGAACCCGAAAGCCTTCTTTTTGTACGCTAGCTCGAAGTGCAAGATAAAGGACGCTATTTCTGATTTGAAAGTAGATCAACAAAAGATAACCTCTGATGGGGGCGAGGCTAACGTTTTTAATCAGTTTTTCAGTAGCGTATCCACTGAAGAGGACTTGAACAGTATTCCAGCTATTGAGGAGCCCCCAGTCGGCTGTAAATGAACAAGTTTTGAAATACAAGAAGAGGTTCTCAAGCGCCTCATCGCTGTAAATCCAAACAAGTCATGTGGACCAGACGGTTTCCACCCCATGATTACTCAAATAGTTAGCAAATGTCCTAGCTGGCCCTCTGACGTCATTTTTTCGAAAAACTTTGAACGAAGGGATCTTGCCGGCAGACTGGAAAGAAGCTCGAGTGACACCATTATTCAAAAATATAACTCACTACCTACTCACTGCATTGAGGGACAGAGAGCGCATTTTCTCGTCGACGAAAACGTGAAGTCACGGATGGATGGACAGACAGACAGACAGACGGACGGACGGACGGACAGACGGACATGGCGAGCATTATAGTGAATTTTTTCCATAAATGAGAAAATACGCTAAAAAGGTGACAAAAGCTGCCGGGCAAATATCGCCCTGTCAGTTTGACAAGTGTTGTTTGCAAGGTAATGGAATCTGTTGTGAGGGATCGATTGATAGATCATTTGATGGCTAATAATCTCCTATCAGACTGTCAACATGGCTTTATTGCCGGGAGATCCTGCACCACTAACCCCTTGTCTACTCTAAACGAATGGACCCGCCTGCTGGACGAAAGGGAGCCAGTAGATGCAGTGTACCTCGATTTTGCCAAGGCATTTGACAGTGTCCCACATGAGCAGCTGTTGCGGAAATTGCAGTCTTTGGGAATTGACAGCAACGTACTCAAATGGATCAGAGATTTTCTAGTAGGGAGACGACAACGTGCCAGTATTAATGGGTCCGAATCAAACTGGGCTTCACTGCGCAGCGGCGTGCCACAAGGAAGTGTTCTCGGGCCTGTTTTATTCGTTGCGTTTATAAACGGTCTGCCAGAAGCTGGTGATGTTCTGGATCAAAAATGAGTCTCGCACAGACTCCAAGAACAGGGATGCTGGGTGAATCCCATCTCTTCGAGAAGATTATGTCCTTCATCCTTCAGTATAATGTCGAAGTCGACAATGGAAAAAGATTTAGGAGTTAATATCGACATTGAGTTGAAATTTTTCTAAGCAAATTGAAGGTCAAGTTAATAAGGCCAATAAACGACTTGGACTGATCAGACGCTCTTTCGGGTTCCTAGATGCAGAAGGGATGAAGCAGTTGTTTGTTGCTGTCGTGCGCCCGAACCTAGAGTTTGGAAACTTCGTTTGGTCACCGAAACTTGAAAAGGACAAAAATTCAATAGAGAGTGTTGTAAGACTTATCCTTGTGGAACAAGGATAATTCCGGGCTTGAAAGGCAAGTCTTTATGAGGAAAGATCAAAGATTAGGAAGCTTCCTAGCCTCAGTTATCGATGTCTGCGTGGGGAACTCATTGAAGCATATAAGTATACCAATGGCTTCTACAAGGTCCCAGAAAGATTACTAGAATTTGAAACAAGAACCAACACCAGACGACACGGCTATAAACTAAAAAAACTGCATTGTAACACATCCATGCGACAACATTTCTTCTCGCTTCGAGTCACCGACATGTGGAACAGCCTCCATGATAGCATCGTTGACGCTCCGAGTATGAACGCCTTCAAGAACAGACTAGACGAAGCTATGCAGGAGCATATGTTCAGTCTTAAAATGCCTTGAAAATTACGGACCAGGCAATAAGTCCAGCAGCTATCTCAATCAATCATCAGTTATGGAAAGATCAGGTTCAAAAGGCCGGATCCCTTGTGAATCAAGTCACGAAAAATTCAAGAATCGGCAACAGGCCATGGGCCTATTTCTTCAGTGCCGACACTTCTATTATATTCTATGAACAAGAATCGGCAACAGGCCATGGGCCTATTTCTTCAGTGCCGACACTTCTATTCTATTCAATGAATGCAAGCCTGACCTGACAGTCATGTCTGCAGTCTCCCAACACGTGGCCAGCACGACGGTTTGAGGCGGGACGGTGTCGCCAGCATCACATTCTGCTGGACTGAGAACGGACTAGAAACATGCAACGATGAAATGAAATAATAACTTGAATGAGTCAATGAAATACAATTATACTCATATATTAGTATAGGTTGGCAAAATTTGTTCCTTTAAACAGGTTTCATTGAAGACCAGAGAATTCGCTTTATTGGCAATTTTCTTATTAGTTTTTCCAATAGATCGAACAATATTTTTCGTTTGCACTGGTAAATTGAAAATAAGCGTACCGATGGACATTTTTATTTATTTACCGACGTTTCGAATGTTTCAATCATTCAGTATCAAGTTGAAAGGTGCATTGAGTGACGAAATTTGGGTTGACATAAGTACAAAATCATGTAAATACGATACTACTCAAAAAACTCAAAAACTACTCAATATTGGTTGGAAATAATGCCTAGTCACTAAAATATTAAGATGAAAAAATATCAAAACGCCAAAAGACACTCCGTAAACAGTCTCAAGGTTCTGACAAATCCTGTAGCTTGTAGGTTGATGGCTGGGGTCCTATCCTTAATGATGAGGGACTCGGCTATCACGAGTCGGTTGGCGTCGGGGCGTCTCATGACGACGCTGGTGCATTCTTCGAGCACCGCCCGAGCGATGGTCTCGTTGTGGGCCTCCATCAGGTGGTTCCTTGGTCCACCAGACTGAAGGTGGCACGTGAGACGTTGGCTTAATGAAATAGTTGCGAGTCCGATGTAGTCCATATGAGGGAGAAGTCTTAAACCTTCTCCATTGCAGGAAAACTTAGACTATATTGGTCTCTTGGAAAACTCCCGTTTTTTGCAGGGGTTATTGTTCATTACAAGATGCTGTATTTTCTTGCTTTTGTAATAGATCAGTAGTTTAATTTTATTGTTAGTTACGCTCACGATGTTGTTGTGAACGATGGATTGGAGGATCCGTTCATCTGCTTTATAACCGCTGGTCATTTGATCCTCGTAGTAGATGGTTGTGACGTTTGCGTTAGTTTCTGATTTGTTGTTGAGCCTGTTTTGGCTCGCTCGAAGTTTTGAAATTAATGTATCGATTGTTCTATTTGTAAATCCATTATTGACTAAAATTCTTTTGCAGTTTTTCAGCTCCGTTTTCAAATCATTTTCAGAGGAGCAGGTTTTGAGTGCACGTTGGATGAGAGCACTTATTGCGCTTCCTATGTAGCGCTCTGGTCATTCGTTGGTGGCGTTCAGGGCTTCCCGCGGCATCTGTGGGTTTCCAGTATACTTTGGTTACGAATGAATTAATTTTAGCTTAGACGGCTATATCTAAAAAGGGCAAAGTACGATTTTGGCCGAACTCGTATGTAAACTTCAAGTCAGAATTCATTTCAAAGGCCAGTCGCAGATTCCTCAGCTGTCCTTCATCTCGAACCACAACGAAGATATCATCGACATACTTGCAGTACAATTCAGGCTTGATCTGTTCATCTGAATTAAAGTACTCGATTTTCGATTTCGCACATACAGTATAGTACTCAGCAGAAGTAGGACAGCCCATGGTTACGCCGTTGGTTTGTCGGTAAATTTTGTTGTCAGGAGCACGGTAAGGTGATTCGGAAGTGCAGAGTCGAGGAGATTGAAATTCTCATCCAACTTTACCGGCTCCACCAATACCTAAAAAAATTATCATCGATCTCCTTCGACTCTGAACTTCCGAATCACCTTTCCGGGCTCCTGACAATAAAATTTACCGACAAACCAACCGCGAAGCCATGGGTCCTACTTCTGCTGAGTACTTTATGTGCGAAATCGAAAATCGAGAACTTTCAGATGAACAGATCAAGCCTGAATTGTACTGCAGGTATGTCGATGATATCTTTGTTGTGGTTCGAGATGAAGAACAGCTGAGGAATCTGCGACTGGCCTTTGAAATGAATTCTGTCTTGAAGTTTACATACGAGCTCGGCCGAAATCGTACTTTGCCATTTTTAGATATAGCCGTCCAAGCTAAAAATAATTCATTCGTAACCAAAGTATACCGGAAACCCGCAGATGCCGGGAGAGTCCTGAACGCAGCCAAAAAAGGCCCAGATCGCTACAAAAAAGCGCAATAAGTGCTCTCATCCAACGATCACTCAAAATCTGCTCATCTGAAAATGATTTGAATACGGAGCTGAAAAATTGCAAAAGAACCTTAGTCAATAATGCATATAGAACAATCGATACATTAATTTCAAAACTTCGCTCGAACCAAAACAGACTCAACAACGAATCAGAGACTAACGCAAACGTTGCAACCATCTTCTACGAGAATCAAATGACCAGCGGTTATAAAGCAGATGAACGGATCCTCCAATCCATCGTTCACAACAACATCGTGAGCGTAACTAACAATAAAATTAAACTACTGATCTATTAAAAAAACAAGAAAATACAGAATCTTGTAATGAACAATAACCCCTGCAAAAAACGGGAGTCTTCCAAGAGACCAATGCAGTCTATAAGTTTTCCTTCAATAGAGAAGGTTGTAGACTTCTCCTTCATATGGACTACATCGGGCTCACAACTACGACATTAAGCTGACTTCTCACGTGCCACCTTCAGTCTGGTGGACCAAGGAACCACCTGATGGAAGCCCACAACGAGACCATCGCTCGTGCAGTGCTCGAAGAATGCACCAGCGTCGTCATGCGATGCCCCGACGCCAATCGACTCGCGATAGCTGAGGCCCTCATCATTAAGGATAGGACCCCAGCCATCAACCTGCAAGCTACAGGATTTGTCAGAACCTTGAGACTGTTTTCGGAGTAAGTTCTGGTGTTTTGATATTTGTTCATCTTCATATCTTAGTGATTAGGCAATATTTCTAACCAATTTTGTTTTTCGAGTAGTATCCTATTTACATGATTTTGTACTTATGTCGGCGCAAATTTCGTCACTCAATGCGCCTTTCAACTTGATAATGAATGATTGAAACATTCCAAACGTCGTTAAATAAATAAAAATGTCCATCGTTACGCTTATTTTCGATTTACAGTGCAAACGAAAAATACTGTTCGATCTATTGAAAAAACTAATAAGAAAATTGCCAATAAAACGAATTCCCCAGTCTTCAATGAAACCTGCTTATATACAAATATACATGAATACAACACAATCAATGCGACATGAGAAAGGGACGAGTTAATGTAATGCGACGACCTACAAAATTTTTTTTTGTGATGCGACGACCTACAAAAAATTCGGTAGAAACGGTGCTAACAGAAATGGACATGATTAAGTTAATATTTTCGCGACAGGAAGCGAAAATAACAATAACATATCTAACCAAAACGTTTGCCTTACTCATTCAGTGCTCCACAGGAGAAAACAGCGAAGCTCACATTACTCGTGGCGACGACGCTACATCCAGATACTGAAAGTAATACTTTTTTATTTTACAGCTTCATCAGCAACGCTATCTTGACATTAAAAAAATTTCAAACCATCATAAACTTTTCTATGAAAATTTTACAACAATAAAATTATAGTCACACTAAATATTCATAATCAAGGATTTTCCGGTGTTGACGAATAATTTTTACCGGGCCTCGACATCGTCGGTACATTCCTCTCTGTGGTCGATGAAGGCATCACGGGCCTTTGTTTATCAGGTATCTTGTTCTCCTGGAACACCCGGTTGATGGCGCTGAGAAGCGGGTATTTGCCGTTGCCACACACGCCTCTGAAGTCGTCCGTGTCGACCGACCACACGCTAATACCGTTCACACCATGGCTGAGCGCAAGTCGAACCTGGAGAAATGTTTTTTATTCATCGTCATCCGTCGTCGTCAAATGTTTCATCGTCATCTGAGAAGACAAAATATATTATTCATACATGAATATTTCATACATCGAGCGTTCAGTAGTCCGTCTATCTTGCGTCGTGCATGAACGTGTCCTATTACCACAGCATTTTCATGACATTTAATTCCGTTATTTTACGACATTAAATAAATATATACATGATAACAAATTCGTAGTTAAGTTAAGTTACAACAATTAAGCAATGTTTTTCCAATGTATCATAATCAGGGAGTCAGACCAAGCAGGGAGTCAGACCACTTTATGTACATAATTTAAACCAGACGCTTGCCCTACTAAAAAACAGGAAGTCAATACGGTCAGGCTCCGAAATTATTGATTATTTTTTAAACATTCATTAACACATAATAAGATTTAGTCACAGACTCTCTTCCTTTATGAACATACCCTTTCTTCAATAGTTGTGACGTTGTCAAAGCCGGCCCACTTATCGTCTTTGTACATGTACGGCACTCGATGCTGCTCATGCCAGTCAATCGTCCAGCCTCTAACAACGTATTGGTTCTGTTGTTGGCGTCTGTCTTGTTCAAGCTGCATCTCGCATATCTTGCAGCAAAATACAAGTTAATCAATGAGAAAAATGTAGCGGAATATATTCACCAGCATATTAGAGACAGAAATCTATGTTCCATAGTAGAATTTTTTACCGCGTATAACCAAATAACCTGTCCAATGCATGTCCACATTTAAAAAGCTCCTGATTAAAACAGGTTAGCCTATAAACAATTATTATGTGCTTAAAGTCTGAATGCGCTTAAAGGGTTAAACATTCCTCGCACATAAACTCAGTTCAGAGTTCAGCGTTCGATGACGTGAAAGTGAGATAAGTTCAATGACGCCGATAAGTGAGATTTCAGCACAACACCCAAGGATTTAGAGAGCCACATACTCATGAGATTGAGTCACATCATTTACATATATTCACAATAGTTTGTGACACCGAGAATCAAATGTGATTTATAGTGAGGTAAGAAATTTCGACGAATTAAATAAAGAAACTTTCTGTTAAGACGTTAGTTTTTGTTCAATCGAGGTAATAATAATGTCAAGTAGAACGGACGATCACGGTAAACAAGTTTTGGGCCTTCATTTAACATACGACGCAAATGATAACTTTTTCTTTTAATTTCGTTGCAGCTGGTGAACTTATTCGTTCGAGAGGTTGAAATTACTATTTTCAAGAGAAACTTTTATTCGCAAGTAAAATTCACAACATTGAGGAACTTGCCAAACCGTGGTACATTATAACAATAAGTTGATAATACTGAGGTTGACTTAGTTAAACCAAGCCACCAATATAATACAATCTTCAACCTCTTCTTACCTCATTGTATCCAACGTAGCCGACAGACTTGGTGTAGGGTCCTTGGAAGCCCGTGTTGAAGGTAGGGGCTCCGTAGTAGTTCTGTGTGGGGTCTCGCAGTATGAAGGTGGTGGAGAATAAGGGGAGGCTCACTGCTATCTTGTGAGCGGGCACTCCACCTGCCAACACTGCGCGCAAGGCCGAGTCCTTGGCAGAAATATTGTAGATTGGTACATATATTCTAGTAGAAGAAACTTCATGGACATTCACACAATGAGATTACATTTTTCTCGATTTAAGAGAAACATTCTTTGGCTATGTTAAGGAACATAGAAAATAATTTCAATTAATGTTGGCATCAACATTTAATAATTTGTCGATAAAGTTTTAAGGGCGAAAAATTTCACGTACGATTAATCAAGTTATTAATATATATATACGCATTCATCTAGAAGTAGAGGGTACAAAATAAATTCACAACATGTGGTAATTTCAATTTCTAAATACCGACCATGTTAAGCGTGACTGCATCGTTAGATTGCACTCTCTCCTCATCGCTGGGGAAGAGAGGAGATGTGTGCCCGGCTCGGCCTTCCCAGTTACCGTGGAAGTTGTAGGCAAGGATGTGCACCACGTCTGTAGAAGTGTTTTTGCTATGAAACAGCATTGCTGTTTCATATTGCTGTTCCGTCGCGCAATTCCATTTGTTAAGTTAAACTTAGCTATTCAATGAATCTCACTTAGTACATGCACAGTAATCTATGTAAAGGTTGAAAACTCATCAAGACCTGAAACAACAATCTCACCTGCAGCCTTTACTATGGCAGAAAGGTCGTATCCCTGCCTTAAAAAGGAGCTTCTTCCACTCACAGTAACGCCTAGGTAGTAACCAAGAGGTGCAAAAGCCTCAGAAAGTTCCTGGAAATGCAATATTTTTTTTTGTAAGTTTTATTGTCACATTTCAAATAACTGGCATTGAGACCTCCAGAAAAAGAAAGAGTTTGTGTGGTTCAATCTTTCAGGATTTGATGCAAATTTTGCTAAAGTTCCTAAAGCATGGAACTCTAAAATAATATTCCAGCGAAGAAACTGCATCTCAGAAAATAATACAAGTTCATCACGTACAGAAAAAAATCGTAAGGTAATTTTTGCTGCGATCATATTTTTGGGTGAATTGGATTTATTTGGATAATTTGAAGGGTATGGAACTTAATCCTACAATACTATGGAACTTTATTCTAGCTCTGGTATTTTTAGAACTCAAAATGAACTCAGCTTGTATGCATTGATGAGGAGCTTAAGGCACCATAAACTTTGGATGGTTAAAAACAGTTCCCGCGTTGAATTCCAAGCATTCAAACAATTCAAATGAAAATCCAGAAGGTATACGGAGAGTATCCTGCGTTTATAAAACACGTACTGACCTGCACGAGGAGGGCGAAGTTTTCTCTGTCTTCAGGCTTGCCCCCGCGGAAGGTGGGGTCCATCCATGCCAGATCAATGCCGTCCAGCAAAGTTCGTCTGTTGGGTCGATAACCAACGGTTACAAAATTTTTTAGCATATTAATAGAGATAAAAAACATGGTAGAGGCGTGCTATATTATATATCTTTTAACCATAATGGATCACCCGCTCAACGGATGTTACCAAATTTAACATGAGGTCCGGAATAGTGACAATTCAAATATATAAATATTCGTATATATCATTCGGTCTGCGCCACCGCAGAGAACGAGTTCGTTGTCAATTGAAATATAATATTTTGAAGTAGTAGCAATGCCGTTGTAGCTTATTAAATGACTTTGAATTTATTCGTTTGCAGTTTGATCTGTATGGATTTAAGTGCAATAACTTATATTATGGTTTCATTGTGCAGTTATCCCTGCCAAAATTTAGGCGCGGCTATCATTCGCTTTTCGGTTGCCGCTCTCGGATCAGAGATGAATCAGACATGAGATGGCCGCCTCCCCTAATCAGCCTCCCAAAAGGTGCTATTTTGGCAGTTCCATGGTAAAAAATATAAGGGTCAAATGACACACGAAATCAGTGCCTGGTAATGCCACCATTGGCTTGCCCTGCTCAGTAGCTGGCATTAGTTCTTAGCACGAGCGTGACAAGCCTCTGATTCAAAAAACTCATATACGATGCAAGAGTAGGCGCACGAGTTTCTAAACGCGTGGGTTTCACCACTCATGCATTGCCTGTACGTCAACGTGTGGACGTTACGTTTCCTTGATTTGAATGTTTTTTTTTTTTTGCTCACGCAAACAGCTTCAAAACTTTTGGGACAATATTTTGAAACGAAATTTTAGGGTCGCGCCAGCGTATGAGCGAGCTTCATTACGCGTGCAATGATTATATTATCCATCGGCACGCGACCATTACGCGTGCTAACACGCGTGCGTTGCGTTGTCTTCGACCCACATGCCCCGCGTTCATGTCAAGACTCAAGACGCTTGCGATACGTTTCAGTGAACACTCTAACGTTACTCTTGCGAGAACCTTCTTGCGATATGTGTACATGAACACGCGTGCATTGCTTATACGTCGAGATGCGTGTATTGCGTGTGTTCACGAAAACACCTACGTTTCAGAGGCAGAGGTACCAAAACAATCTCTTTTATACTCGCTAATAAGGAGTGGGAGGTTAGTTATCAACTAACCGGCTTTAGACAAAGCACTAAAGCCCGTCCACACCTTCAAACTTATAGTCAGTCTTGCATGTCATGCCAGGTTTGACCGATTTTGACGCAAGACTGAAGAGCGTCCACACGCTCAAACTTTCCTTCAGTTTTCAGTGCGTTCACGACAATGGAGGAGGTAGTGCTGCTCGCTGCAGTGATCGCAGCGTGCGTCACCATAATTAGGTTAGAGCGATGCAAACGTACGCGGTGGTCCCGAAAATGGTTTTAAAAAAATACCACAATGAGAGTTGATAGACAGCATCCCCACCAGCACCAGACAGCATTGACGACTTCATTTTGGCACATTCTTTTCAATAAAGAGTATAGTTTCTTCGTTACAAAGCCTTTGTTTGCTGTATAATCAACTTCTTTGCACTTAACTATCAATGCCGCATAGGCCAGTGCTCTCTTGTTCCTGTGACTGAAGCTTTATGATTGAATTTACCATAAACATGGGAAACTACGATATAATTCAATGAACTCGCCAAAATAAATCGTGAAACCAGTGTCGGAGATCCTGGGATATGAAAGACTAGAGATAGCGAGGAACAATGACACATCTCTCATCATCAATATAGACTGAGATAGCGTATAAGTTTGACCAATAAGTCGGTTGCCCGTCCACACGCTCAAACTTATCGCCAGTCTTGCATGAACCCAAAGGTTTCGCCCATCCGGCTTCTCCAGGTTTGTCAAACCTCAAACTCCGCCCACCCGTCATGCACGTCAAACTTTGAGCGTCCACACGCTCCGTCTTGTCGTCAAACCTGGCATGACATGCAAGACTGACGATAAGTTTGAACGTGTGGACGGGGCTTAAGCAGTGAAAGGTAGTTCAGACTGCGCAGGCGCTGATCTTGAGCAGTGATACACTGTTCTTCGTCACTTGCGGACGTCGGTTGATGCACGCATAACGCATCTCATTCGAATTGTGTAATCTTATCGTGTATAGTGAATAAGTGAAGTCTACATCTTGCAAACAACTTAGTGTTAAAAACTGAATATTACCGTTTATAACATTTTCAGCAATACAAATTCCTTACTTATTGCAGTCCAGTGCTTTCTAAAGTGAGGTTCGTTGCAATACTTCTCGTCGGGAGGCGGCATTCATCATGACTGCGCAATTTGAATTGTGAGTTCAAGATTTTAGCAGCGGTTGAAATTTTCAACTTTGGGTATGTCGATACGAGAATGTTATTTAAGCTGCTCCTGTTCATATGCTTAAGGCCCTAATTTCTAAATCAACGCATCAACTGAATCAATTTGTGCAGTCGGAACTCGAAAGTTCATCATTGCCTAGGATGCTACCTACCTAACCAACAGTCGACACCACTGGGCGGGTCAGCTGATTGACTGAGCTGAACAGCTGGATGGAACAGGTTGCAGAGCGTATACCGATTATTCGCAATCGCTAGTAAGTTAGTTGCTTTTGTTCCGTTCTATCTACTCTATTTCGTGGTGTTGTTGTTCGCCCTCCCCGTCCCGCGACAAATGCGGGACGGGGCCTACATCCATTCCTGCGGCCAGCCCAACCTCTCTCCCCAGTGCGCCAACAGGCCAGCCGCCTTGATGGGAGAGCTCCACAAAACCAGGGGCGACAAGGGCGTGATCAGCTCCGAGCAGCCGAATAGGTGGTTGGTGTTGTGTTCATGTCTGTGACAGAGTGGACAAAGAGAGGACGGATGTGTGACTGGATCTATCTTGTGTAGGTATTGGTGTAGTAGGGGGGACTTGTTTGTGCGGAGTTGTGCTAGTGCTCGGCGTGTGTGTCTGGGTAAATGGGTTTCTGAAGGGTCTATGGCCGGAACTGGTGCCGAAAGTACAGCATTATTTGGTAGGTTGTCTATGTAGAAAGTTGTGATTGTAGTGTGTATTTGTTTCTTGTGTCTGTTTAGTGTTTCTGTTGTGGCTTGATCTGGTTCTATGAGTATGTTAGTGGTGTAGTTTCTATTTGTGAAGACTGTTTGTTTCATAAGTCTGGGTGGGTTGTGAAGTTGAGTATGAGTGTGAAGTGGGTGGGTCGGTGCTTGAGCTTTTAGTCTGAGTTGGGATGCGTAGAGTCTGAGGTGCTGGTCTATTGGCAGCGTTTTTGTTTCTGTGTGTAGGTGACTTTGGTTGGTATCAGCTGTACAACCTGTTGCAATGCGGAGTGCAATGTTTTGGATTGTTTGTAGTTTGTTTGTGTGAGTTTGTGCTAGGTTGGGGGACCAGATGGTGCTGCCGTATTCTATTAAAGGTTGTGTTATAGTTTTGTTGGTGGTGAGTAGGACTTCTTTTTGTTTTCCCCAGTTTATTGATGTGAGAGATTTAAGAATTTTTAATGTTTTAGTTGCTTTGTTGTGTGTGTTACGGATGTGGGTATTGAAGTTTAGTTTTGGGTCGAATGTGATTCCTAGTATTTTTGGGTGTGATGGTGGGAATTGTGGTATTGTCTATGGTAAGGTTTAGTATTTTCCTGTATTCAGCAGGGTCAGGTGTGAAAAGTGTGGCTGTGCTTTTGGATGCGTTTAGTTGGAGGTTGTCTCTGATAGTCCAGTCGTGTATCTGTTGTAGGAATGGTTGTACGTATACGTTGTTCTGCAATTTTGTAGTTGTGGTGTGATGAGAAAATGGTGATGTCGTCTGCATAGGTAATCATGTGCACATCTGTGGGCGGAGTGGGGAGGTCTGAGGTGTATATGTTGAAAAGAGTGGGTGAAAGGACGCCCGCTTGTGGGACGCCTGTTTTGAAATTCTGCTGCTTGGAAGTGGTGTTATTGAAAAGTGTGTAGCCTTTTCTTCCTTTTATGTAATTGGATATGTATTTCGTCAATGTTGATGGAATTTGAATGTTCGAGAGTTTGTCTATTAACTTGTGTATGTTTACTGTGTCGAAGGCTTTGGACATGTCTAGTGCTATTGTAATGGTTCGTGAAGGTGGTTGTTTCTGATTGAATCCGCTGGTAATATGTTGGGTAAGTGAGTGTAGGGCAGTGACTGTGGAGTGATTTCCCTTGAAACCGTATTGGTGAGCTATTTGTGGAATGAGAGGCTGAATGATGTTGAGTATGATTTTTTCTAATGTTTTAGAGATAGGGCTGAGGAGTGATATTGGTCTGTAGGAAGAGCCTAGGGAAGTGTCGTTGTTGGGTTTGGGTATGGGTATGATCTTGGCTAGTTTCCATGGGTGTGGGATGATGTTTTTGTTTATTGCTATGTTGTATATTTTGGTAAGGTATGATGGTTAGGTGTTGAATGTTGATGTTATCAGGGCCCGTGGATTTATTGGTCTTACTATTTTTAATTGCAGAAATGGTCATATCTGTTGTGATGGTCATCTGATCTTTTCGTAGGTTTTTGATTATTCTGTCTATTTTTCTGTAGTGAGGGCAGGTTTGGTGTTTTGTTATGTTTATTAATTGGTTGTTAAAAGATTGTGCTTTGTCTTTGGAAGTGTGTGCTATTTTATTTGGGAAACGAATGGATTTGTTTGGTTGAGTGGGAATGGTTTTGTTTGATAGTTGATGTATTGTTTTCCAGAGTATATGGCTATTGTGTTTGTTGTCCAAGTGTTGCTCCAGATGTTCTCTCCAAATTTTTGTCTTATAGTCTTGTATGGCTCTGTCAATTTCTCTGTTTAACTGCAGTAGTTGCGGGTCTGTGTGATTTGCGGTTCTGATTTGATTTCTTTGAGTTATGAGAGCTCTAATGTTGTCTGGGAGAGGTGGTTGATTTGTTTTTATTTTGCCTTTGGGAATGTTGTGTTTGTCCGCTTGAATTATGATGTTTGTGAGGGTTTTGTTTGCGACGTGAATATCGGTTGGGTCTGCTATGTTTTCTAGTGCCGATTCTATTTCAGTTAAAAAGGAGGCCCAGTCGGCTTTGTGGTAGTTGGTGTATTTTTTTGTTTATTGTTGTAGTCGGAAGTTTGTTTTTGTTCTGTAGTCTAGTAGTATAGGTAGGTGGTCTGATGAAAGTTCTGTTTGGGTAGTCCAGGTAATGTTGTTTGCTATAGTGTCAGAGGCTGTGGAAATGTCGGGAGAGGTAGGTTGTTGATTGTTTGTGGTGGGTAGACGAGTAGGTGAATTTTGGTTGAGAATAATGTGATTTGAGCTCTGTATGATGTCTTCTATTAGTATGCCTCTGTGGTCGTTGTAAGGTGAGTGCCAGGAGTTGTGGTGGGCGTTAATGTCTCCTGTGATGATTGTGTTTGGCTTATTGGTAATGTGGATTAAGCATTCGGTGATGAGTTAATCTATATGGTTGTGTTCGTTCGAGTCGTCAGGTTTCATTATGGAGTTACATTCAAGTATAAGGATGAATTTGGTTATTTCTGAAGAACTACAAATACGAGGATAGATTCAGGAAATTTCCATCGAGCTCAGCAATATTGGAATAGTATTAGACGTAAGAAATGCTTCTATTCTTCATTTTTCAGCAGTTACAAGCAGTATTTTCAGACCCCGGTAAAATTGTTTGCTAGACGAATGGTTTCTTCAACCAAAGAACTGTTCAGCTTTAAGCATATGTCTGCATGCTTGAGCTTATTGCTCAAGCTGTCAAGCAGAAGATAGCTTTTGAACTATCACTTACAAGAAGCCCCTCTGTGAGCAACATATTTGATTTGAGGATTTCCATAACTATCGTTTATTCCGCTTTTTATTTGATTGTTTCTCCAGGAATTTAGAGTTTAGATGATAACTTTAATGCTTGTAAATAACTACATGTGAAACTCAATACTGTCATTGCAGCAGCCGAGGATGGATGCAAAAAGATCCTCACTTGCTATGAAGTGTGAACAACTGAAAGCTGCAATCAAGTTAGTGCCGTAACTCGATTTTGTTAAGATTAACATGTGCTACTCCCTTCTATTGTGTGGTCTTTCGTCAATGGACGCAGAAATTCGAGGCCCTTGCAGAACTGTTTGCTCGATAGAAATTTAATGTGACGAAAGTTACATGAAATGAAGCGGCAAATAATTAAACGATTATTTTAAAACACAACGTTGTTCAATCAGCAGGATGCATGGATTTGATAGGAGAAATTGGATTGACTTGCATTACCTCGAATCAGTGATATTGATGTATCGATTGATTTTTTTATTTGCGATTATTGCCCTCATTTCTAACCACGCCATGTCGTAAGAGTTACTAGCTGTAAACGTCTTTGCATAAAATTGAGCCTCTGATAGACTGCTCTGATATTAAAACTAAGCGACTAGTGCTATATAGACTGCATATATATAACGTGTAGAGATTGAAATTCCCCCTCCCTTCCCCCCATAAGGGGGGGAAGGGAGGGGGCATTTTTAACGCACTTTTCAGATTCGGCCGTGTCTGTCCCCAACGTATCAGGTACCAAATATGCGCGCCCCACGATCGCCCCAAGCTCGATGGGTAATTTCACAAGATTCCATTTCGGCGCTTATTTTGCTCCGGCAACCGGAACCTAAAGCGGACACAGAGCTTCTAATTTACGTCGCAACAAGAACTTGAGGCGTCCTTGTGCCAGCGGCTGACAGGAATAAAAGTTTCGATAGGGTATAGGCATGAACCACAAGAGATAAACATCGTCGTGAGTAGAAAAAGCCTAAAATTTTTACTTGCCTACGTGACTCGCCTGATAAGGAACGTTCAACTAACGCGTGAATCGTTTTTTTGAGCCTGCATTAAATTCAACCATCGATTTTTCAGAACGAGGTTCATAATTTTGTTTTACAAAATGGATAAATTACAATACAAGACTAAGTAAAAAATAATGATGTAAAAACTATTGCTAAAGCACAACTCACAGCAAAAAATCAAGTACTGATGAGATGAATTTTTTTCTGTTTTCCGCTGTAGCCACCATCCTGGAGAATTTCTCAGAACCTTCGTTGTAACCCCCCACGGCCACCGTAAGTACGATGCTGGGATTCAGGGTTCTTAGCTGACGCAATTCGTCGTAGACTCCTGCATAAACGCATTAGAGAGGCCGATCAAAACGTTTGCATTGCCAACTATAGTGAGACAAAATTCACCTCCAAGATCCACCTCACTTGATTCAATTATGATAATAAGAAAATTGCTTTCGCTTGACTAGCGTATTCAGATAATTGAATCTAAACAATGAATCGAGAATTCTAAATTCTAAGAGGAATAGAGAATGCAATATCATCTGTATTTTATATGCGAAGATAGAGGACATAAATTGTGCCTTGCTTATACTAACTTATACTGATAGAAAGTGATGTACACCATAGTATGGACTAAAAATCTTATAGAAAGTCGTCTAACTTGACCAAAATTGAATATTTACCCCGCTGCAGGAGGTGAGGATCAAGATCGACGATTGTAAGTTTGGACTCATCAAGTCCAACGAAGCTGAAGATAATGTGAGTGCAGAGGCTGGTGTCGATGTCGGATATTTTGAACTTGCCCAGAGATTCCCGGTACACTGACCAGCTTTGGTAAAAACACGCTACCACCGCAGGCCTTTGTGGTTCTAATACAAGAAGAGGGGGGAAATGCATACGCTGTAAAGAATATGAAACTGCAATGATGAGACATTAAAGGCATGCAGTAAACAGAGTACACATATCAGAATTGAGCAATGAATAAAAGTTCCCTTAATTAGATAATGCGTCATAGGAGCTACAATTAAATTAACGAATTGCTGTAATTACTCAGAATGTTCCTTTGCAAAGACCGCTCAAAGCGACCAACCATAGGCAGTGCGTTATCATATAAACAAATAAGGAAAAAATGAAGTTCACGAATTAATAATGTACTATAACAGAATGAAATCCAGCTTTAATGCATGTGAGTAGGCCCCAATAGCTGAAAACAAAGCAGTAAAACATGGCCATGACTGTATTTGAACATTGAGTAACAAAATCTTCAATAATTCAATAATTTATTCGAATAAAAAATGACGAAGAGATTGATACGTTATAGAACATGAAATTTCAGTTCATTACGTCAGAAGGAATGTTTTTCTCACCTCACTTTTAGTCATGTATGAATTTTGTACGTAAAATTAGTCGCTAGCATCAAGGCATGCTTTTACTCAATGTGTAATAATTTTCAGGCAGTTGTAATATTTTTATAATTGGACCTTGATTAAAGCGAACAAAAATGATTTCGAATTCAAAGTCAAGTCGTAACATAAATAAACAATCACGATATGTTACAGTAACTAATAATCATTATAGACTCACGATTGAGTTCGATGCTATAATCCCGCATCTCAGCGTTGATCGTCCTGAGGAGCGGATACTTGCCGGCCAGGCATTCGCCTCTGAAGTCGTCCGTGGATATGGCGAACGCACTCACACCGCGCAGGTGCAGATTCTTTGCCAGGTCTATCTAAGCAACATAAATTCATTGAATGTATTCAATAAATTTAATTCTATAAATTTATTTGAAAGCCGACTGTGTCGGCATAAGTTTTGTAGTGCATGATGTTTGATACTCCCATTTTATCGTATCAAGTGTGCTACTTCCAATTTGCGGTGGATGAAGCGCTGATTGCGTGCTCACAGGACTTGTCATTGTCACAAATTCTCGTGCTTTAAACAAGTACTTGCTCCATGAAATTAGTTTTACCAGCAGTAGTACTCTACGCAACTATACTCAATATAAGCGTTCTTTGAATGATCTAGCTAAGCTATAGATTGTTTCAGATTTTGTTGACGGGCGTCTCTACCGAGTGAAATGAGCAGGGTTTCTTTCTATGGAATTGTAAGCAAGTATAAGTGAAGTTTTGACCACACTCTTTTCCTTAACAATTAATTTATGAGATCTGCTACACGCTACTGCAACAAAATAAATTATTAGTGAATGATGCAAGCATAAACACCAACTCCATTGACATTAATAAAAATGGGATGATATTTTGTGCCACGCTGCAGGGAAAGGAAATACTAAAAAGGAGCTGAAGGATACAGGAACTGAAGGATACAGGAACTGAAGGATACAATAACTGAAGGATACAGGAACTGAAGGATACAGGAACTGAAGGATACAAGAACTGAAGGATACAGGAACTGAAGGATACAGGAACTGAAGGATACAAGAGCTGAAGGATACAGGAACTGAAGGATACTGGAACTGGAGGATACAAGAACTGAAGGATACAGGAACTGAAGGATACAGGAGCTGAAGGATACACGAACCGAGGGATACAGGAACTGTAGGATACAGGAACTGAAGGATACAAGAACTGAAGGATACAAGAACTGAAGGATACAAGAACTGAAGGATACAGGAACTAAAGGATACAAGAACTGAAGGATACAAGAACTGATGGATACAGGAACTGGAGGATGCAAGAACTGAAGGAAACAGGAACTGAAGGATACAAGAACTGAAGGATACAAGAACTGAAGGATACAGGAACTGGAAGATGCGGGAACTGGAGGATACATGAACTGGAGGATACAGGAACTAAAGGATACAGGAACTGAAGGATACAGGAGCTGAAGGATACAGGAACTGAAGGATAATTCAGTAACTGAAGGATACAGGAACTGAAGGATATAGGAACTGGAGAATACAGGAACTGCAGGATACAGGAACTGGAGGATACAGGAACTGGAGGATAATTCAGTAACTGAAGGATATAGGAACTAAAGGAGTCAAGGAACTGAAGGAGTTTAGGAACTGAAGGAGTCAAGGAACTGAAGGAGTCAAGGAACTGAAGGAGTCTAGGAACTGAAGGAGTCAAGGAACTGAAGGAGTCAAGGAACTGAAGGAGGCAAGGAACTGAAGGAGTCTAGGAACTGAAGGAGTCAAGGAACTGAAGGAGTCTAGGAACTGAAGGAGTCTAGGAACTGAAGGAGTCAAGGAACTGAAGGAGTCCAGGAACTGAAGGATGCAATTAAAGTCATTTCATTGGCTTTAAAAACCGTAAGGACTTTATGAAACTTACGGAAGTTATTTGAGGACTAATCATTATTTGATTATCATACTACTTTTGGTGATAACGAGCAGGACAGCATTCAATTATGGAAATTGCAACCAGCCATAACATTTATAAAGGAGTAAACTGAACTAGTTGAAATTAAATAATTGAAACATTTGAAATAAAGCATGTAATATGATAAATTAATGAGTTCGATTATTTCTAAGGCAACTTGAATAGAAACGATTAATAACGCATAAGAAATATAATTTGAAACATAAAATTTAAATTGAATAATTTCAATTATAACCAAATAAAATTGATGAGAACAAAAACAAGCACTTAACATAAATGCGTAAATTATTATTCCGTCCAAGTAATATAGACTTAGCTAATGCAGCAATACCTTATGAAGAAATATTTTGATGTAAAATTCAAACAAGACAATAAAATACCGAGATTTTAAAGAATTAAATAATAATAAATAAAACTCATCAAATAAATATTCCTGCTTACTAGAAATAGAAATTACCAAAAAATAGGATCAATTACAGCTACTTTTCTTACATGAAAATATTACTAATTCAACTTATTTATATGAAGCATACTAAAACGAGCTAAAAAATATATTATAAGTGAATAGTGAAATGAAAGTAACAATATTTGTGATAGAAGATAGTGATTAGAGCGTCGGTAATTCTGACTTCAGTTATATTAGACTGTGTAAAACGTAGGTTGAGGGTGAATTAATTAATAACATGAGTTTGAAAGTTATTGGAAATTAGAGACTGAGAAGGAATGAAGAATGAGAAGGCCACAGAAATTTGGGTTGAACTGTATAAAGCTTGTATAAGGTGCTATTGTTCTCGAGACCGTGAGACCGAGGGTTTGTTTATAGTTTGGAATGGCATGGGTATCACATGTGCTGGCCCTTGTGGAACTCAAAACTGTCGCCGCGTCTATTCGAGGGTATAGGCTAAAGTGTGGGCGACACCAGCGTATATAAGGACCCTAAAATTCGCGCCAAACGGTTGTTCCACGGAGGAGACCGTCACACGAGTACGGTCTGCAGTTTGCGGGCGTTGTGACGGCCGCGGCCGCGAGGCTGGCGGTTTTGCCGTTTTCGAACTTTGGATGTCGCAAGAAACCTAGACTCACCGAGGCAGCTACGATTCATGTGAGCACGCCGGAAATGTACAAAGGACGTCTGCGACTTCGACATATTAATGTAGGTCACCGTCAACATTAGGGCTGCGACTCAACCGCGAAACAGTACGCGAGGCCACGAGTTGTACAACGATTATAACACCCGCCGTCAGAAGAATCAAGATTTCAAGCTCTGCACAACAATTCTCATCGGTACGGTCAACATCCAGTACGGTCACAACTCTCATCAGTCCGGTACGGTCCCAGTCATCGTCAGTGTCGGTACGGTCACGATCACCAACCGCAAAAAAAGAGCAATGAGCACACAGCAAAACACTGCATCGACGATAAGACTACGCCACTATTCAGAAGTACGGTCGTTGTAATGTATAACAACCTACGGCCAGACTGACCGTGAGACATATATTGGGCCATGAAGAAAAAGTGAACGCGAGGACGCGCGGCTACAGCTGCGGTACGGCCCCGGAAAATACAGTTGCAAACGTGTACGCCAGTTACGGCCGTTTACAACAGCCGTCTTCTCAACGGAACAGTAACGAATAACGTTTCTGGTAAATAGAGAAGTTTGAGTGATGTTAACTGACAGGTTCTCAATTTTGATTGTGTACGGACTTTCTTTTTCATGTACTAGAGATATCTGTCAACGTAGGATATGAAATTAAATTTCCCAATTTAATATGAAATGTACCTGTGTTTCGTAACAACCCTCTCTCTGTACGATTTTCGCCGTAACCTATTCATATCGAGAACCTTCCTATGTGCCAAAGATTAAGCCACCTTGGCAACCAACCTGAGAGAATTACAGCAATTGACGAACAAGCGATAAAACTCATAATGTACGGTCAACATCGATACTTAAATTTCCATAAACCTAAGGAAAAATTATTTTCCTGTTCAAGAGGACTGAGAAACAAACTAGTTACTAGGCCTACCTAAATCAGTTCAATGATACGTTCACTTAAATCTCATCCCACACTGTCCAATTAAGAGTTTACCACTGCATGTAATAGCTCACTTTCTCAGTAAGAGACAGTGAGTCGTCATAGCCGATCCACTCCGTGCCACCGTAGATGTACGGTGCTCGCTGCTCCTGTTCACGGGCGATAGACCAAACTATTCCTTCCGACTCTATTCGCTTGCAGATCTGAAACACAAAAAAGATATTTTAAGTCGTGATTCAAATTAAATTTCTCATTAAAAATTATATTAATGATCAGGGCTATTTGCTTCAGAGTGATAATAATGATACCAGGAATTTGTCAATGCATATCACTCAATAAAGCCGGAATTATCCGCATTCTATCGCACATAGCATCACGAGTAACACAAGCTTAACCTGCATGAGTTCTTGTAAATGTTCGAGGCGACACTTCGTGGTCGTTTGGAGACTGATTTCGTGGATGCCATCGCATTAAACGTTGCCCCAAAGGCTGATATCTTCGCAATCAATTGATAGGGCGAAGTCAATCTATCAAATACTCACAAAAAAAACCAGTATTAAATAGGAAATGAAGATTTCCGAGCAGCGACGGACAGTATACCCTAATCACGAAACGTGCTAGCAGTACGCAAACTTGATTAAGGGGGGTTTCCTTATAGCCTAATATTTCTACGTTGATTAATCGAAGTTATTACTCAGTTTTTTACGTAACGTTACTGTTTTAGATACCTATTATTGTCAGGTTGGTTCCGTGGTGGTCAGTAAAGGCACGTTGTGAGTTCTCGATCCGGCAACCACGAATTAACAAAAGGAAGAATGGCAACAAATGGAAATTTCAAGCTTCCTATATTATAGATAAAATCCTACACCTTTTACAGAGCTGGATCACTGACAACGCATGCAATCTATACAGACAGAACAAATCTTCTAGATTCTAGAGGATAAGGTACATGAATTGAACAGCATTCTGGTCAATAGCAAGGATTATAATCGTTCTTACAAAATTGACCTATTATCAGAAAGTTAAGCACAGATCTAATAATTAGACACAAATTTAAAAGCAAATATCAGCACTGCCTCAATTAAATTCCTAACGGGTACATCAACGGGCTTTCGGACGAAGACTTATCGACGCAGGCTTAAGGCTTATCGACGCAGCCGTTACTTGCTTCGCGTCGTAGCCATCCTTTCCGATCCTAGCTTCCCCTCTCACGGCCGGTCCGACCGTAGAACTTATAACGACCGTACTTCAGAATAGTGGCGTCATCTCCAATCTGCGGCAGTGTTATTCCAAGATTTCTGCCGTGCTACTACTGCTGATGAGAAGATGCCTGGCTGCTGCTGGTGACGCTGAAACGTCTCCTCGATGATGTTCTTGATGCGGTGGTGCTAGTGCAGACTCTCGACCTTCAGTTAAGTCAATTTCGAGACTGGAGATTACAGCTGAGTCGGAACGATGCTGGAGCGTGGATTGTCGATTGGTTCTCTCACCATTAGCTGATCCACTCGAGTCTAGAGGATTGTTCGCGGGTATCTTCGAAATCCTTTTGTAAATCTTCTGTCGGCTTGTACATGTACTTAGACGTCGTGACAAAGTTGGTGGTCAGGGTAGTGTCGCATTGCTGGGCGAAACTGCCAACGGAAACGTACGCTTACGAACGACGGGAACGACGATGATCCTCTAGAGTCTAGAGTCTAGAGTCTAGACGACTCGAGTTGATAAGCAAATGGTGAGAGAATTTACTCGACAGTCCATGTTCCAGCATCGTTCCGACTGAGCCGTTTCGGATCTCCAGTCTCGGAATTGACTCCACAGAACGTCGAGAGTCTGCACTGTAGCACAACCGCATCAGGAACATCATCGTGGAGACTTTTCATCGTCGCCAGCAGCAGTCAGCAGCAGTAGTAGTACGGCAGAAATCTTGGAATAACACCACCGTAGGTTGGAGACGACGCCACTATTCTGAAGTATGGTCGTTAAAGTTCTACGCTCGGACCGGCCGTGAGAGGGAAAGCTAAAAGCGGAAAGTACGGCTGCGACGCGAATAAAATAACCGCGGCGTCGACCAGCCCACGTCCCTGTCCCAAAGCCCGGTGAAGTACCCTTTAGGAATTTAATGGATGAAATGCTGTTATTTGCTTCTAAAATTGTGTCTAATTATTAGATCTGTGCTAGACTTTCTGATCATAGGTCGATTTTATAAGTGACGATAATCCGTGTTATTGACCAGAAGGCTGTTCATCTCGTGTAACTAGGCCTCCAGATGACTGGTTCTGTCCGTATCGATTGCATATGTTGTCAGTGATCCAGCTCTGTAAAAGGGGAAGGATTTTCTCTATAATATAGGAAGCTTGAAATATCCATGTGTTGTCATTCTTCCTTTTGTTAGCCCGTGATTGCTGGATCGAGAACTTACAACGAGCCTCTACTGTACTACGCGCCTACCCATCGAAGTGACGCCGAATTCCTCAACTGATGGAATCTCCCTCGTGATAGGTTCGCCAACATTCAATGTAAATAACACCCGGTCCCACGACCGCGAAACAACTGCGTCTTACACACATCCTACATTCCTATTCTTTTCAACACCTGCATACAGGCTATGTTCAGTATTATAGTATAAAATAAAGTCAGAATTACCTACGCTTTATTCAAATAACCTCTAGTTTAGGTACAGTTATTTATACATTTAACTCAACACATTTAGTTCAATGATTTTATTTGTCCTAAATATTACTCAGATGGATAATATTTGCATAACTAGATTGTTTTCGGTTTAACTAAGCTTTCAAACACATAATAAAGATTCAAAGATATCTCGTATGAATTGGAAATTGAATCTGCCGTGCTAGCTCACTTAATTGAGCACCGCCATATTTGTTATACTGTATCGAAACATCAAAGGCAATCAAGGCCAAAGGAGGTACGAGTGAGGCAACCCATCAGAAAGTTGCAACGCAGCGGCTCCCCGAGGAACCAAATAAGCCCCTATACTAGGCCTGCTTATGCAATGACACACCCACAGGTAATTTACGGGCATTTGAAAAAATCATTTACACTTTTAAAAGCTCGCAGTATAAATTTTAAACTGCCGCAGTACTTTTCCCAATCGGAGCGAGTCATTGACGCCTTTTACATACATAAACATGTATTTTGCCAATGTACTACTCTTCATACGCGATTGTATGTATTCTGGGGTTATGCCAATTCCAGTTGTCTGGAAGCCATCTGAAACAACCACTCGATTTCACACTAGACATACCGTTCACAACGTACGCATAACGGCGACGAAACTCTGAGAAATCTGCAGTTTTCTACAAAAAGCGACACACTCGAAATTTTTTGCGAAAAGTGTAGCCATTTATGCTTGGCTTGAATACAAGACCTTAAAATAGGATTGTTTCTATTTATGAAGCCAAAGTTACAAGGTACCCAAGAACGGCTTCAAACTAATAACCAAACAAACTCTGGAGCATATATACACGCGCAGTTTAATTATATATTAAAGGATTATGCATTTCTCTGGTGCCTACATTCACAGAACCTGACAAAATCGCGGCGAGTCAGTTTATACCGCAGTATTGTGGTCAAAGCATTTAAATGTGACTTAACCATGACCTGGTAAAAAGATAGAACAGAATCTTGCGTTTTTCATGATAGACTCACTATTCACAGGACCACATATACATGCTCTCACGGTGTTTCGCTAGAGGACTATTCTTCATTATCAGTGTATGCTTCTAACTTACATACATAACGCATCATTTCTGTACAAGTTCCTAGGATTTTTTTAACCTGACTTGTTTGGGATTTCGCCAATACATGGATTTGGCATGTTTTATCCACGTAAAACGCAGAGACTGCATTCACCTCCCGGTATGTGAGGAGTCCGTCCCCCGACGAAGGGTCTCCTTCCAGAGCAGCAGCACCAACTCGATGATTCCTGCGGTCCGCCAAGAAGAAAGTCCGACCGAAAAGCGCAAGTCCAAGTACGATCTTTTCGGGGGGTACTCCCATCTCCAGTACGTACGATACCGTGAAGTTCTGTCGAAATAGTTATATTTCATGATTTCAGTTGAAAATTGGTAAGCATTTCTGTTAAATCGTATTCCGAACTTTCGTTCGACTCTCGAGGGTTACGTTGATTTTTTTAACAACGATATGAGATAAGCTCGTGTCAATCTTCCTGAAAACAGACATTATCTTTCTACGATCAACTGCCGAATGAAAACTTAACTATTAATATACAGTGCTGTGATATTTAAGAGCACCTCCGCGTTTCTTCATGTTTTGGTATATTTTCCGCAACGACACTCAACATATGAAGAGATTAAGGTGGTGCTTGAGAGCCGCGAGCCCTCAGGCAGGCTTGGCTGGATCCCTATGGGAATCTATCACTACGTACTGTATATTCATTATAACTCCGCTCGTAAATAAAATATCAATCTGAATTTTGTCATGCTTATTCAGCTATTTATTTACAATTTCTCTACAGTAACAAAAAATATGTAAATTTTGTCTAACATTAGTTATGATAGAGGAAAAGGTTGTACATCGATCAATCAATGTTCATTATACTATATGCGACTTACCTAATTTTGTGAGACACAAGGATGTAGTACTATTTATTCTCTATTGATCGATATTAGAGACATATCTGAATCAACCTCTATTGTGTAGATATTTTCTAACAAAGTATTTTTTCATTACTGCTAAATCGGAGATTTCACATTTTCTTTGGAAGCCGCAGTTCTCCTGAAGGAGTTGGGGAAAAAGAGAGGGGAAACACACCTCGTAAATTACACGCCTGTCACTCTTGCGGTGAAGGGGAGCATAATGAGGGGCGAGTAATAATGGATGGCCAGTGGTCGGCCGAGGCCAGTTAGTTCTAGCCGACTGCAGGCCATTCCTCGGCCACCTATGAGACGGCCGTAGCCCTAAGATGGGTGCTGGCTCAGGTATCATATTACAAAGGCAACAAGCTCGAGCACAGCAACTTGCCGATCTGAACACAGTACAAGGGTTCCACATTGTCGTCGCGAATTTCTCGCTCACGGACTTCGCCGCACTGTGACGACTGGCCTTAAGGGAAAACAACTTACGACATTATTAGTTCGAGCCAGGCCCGTTTCCCCCGAGCGAGGGTAGAGTGGAGCGTTGAGGCCGGTAATTCTTTCCCACTTCCCGTGATAGTCGTAGGTCAGCAGGTACATGAAATCTTGAAAAATTAAATTCACTTTAAACCAGGAGGAAATAGAAATAAATGGGCAACAAGAATCAGAAAAAAGCATGAAATTACTAAGCGAAAAAATGCAAACAGATGTAGCAAACAGCGAACAGTGACGCTGAACAGCAATCAACGCAGTGATTGCTGCGTTGATTGCTCGCTTCGCTGAAGCGAGTTCGCTTTGTGATTCGCTGTTCACTGCTCAGCATTGAACAGCAAACATCATAAGCACAGCAGAAGTGAACAAGGCGAACGCAGTAAATGAAGGAACGACGAATAACATGGATGCTGCATTAAAAAAATAGAAAAGAGTTTGAGGCAAGCATCAAAGAACAGCACAACGAAATGTACACATCATTAACGTTCAATAACGCAGTGAAATAACGCGTAATAACGCAATAGCGCATGAGGCAATAACGCATTAAATAATAAACGCAGTAAAACACGTAGAAACAAAGCAAGCACGTAAAAATGTTGAGCTGTAATGTTTTCTTGACCTAAATAGCTATAATTTTCTCATAGCATCGCGTCGCTAGGGACCCAGTCAAAGTTTTCGTTCCATTAGGGTCGCGCCAGAAGAAATGGAGCCAGCTCAGTGGTGAATCAGGCGCAGATCAGCCACGTCCGATGTTCGGCTGCTATTTAGCAGCCTCTTTCGGAAGTCAATTTCCCGGTGAACCGAATCTGCGTAATATGCCCAAAAAAGCAGCTGGTCAAGCTGCCTCATGATGCCTCTGGTCAGACGCTGGTCAGGCTCCGGTATGATGGCCTTGGTCAGAGGCTAGACGGTCGCACGCATGCTATGTGATACGACTGAACGAAAGGAAAGTCGAATCTAACTTAATTGATGCCTAGCATGGGGAAGTTAGCATATGATGAATAAACCCATGCACATACTGTTCAAGACGCCTATTTTAACCTGACACTTCTGTAGATTATACCAACTTCTAAGCACATAAAAGTAACATCATCGAATGAAAAAAAAAAATAATTTTTTGCAGATACTCTAGCAAGTTAAGAAATCTATAACTACTTCTACTCCATGAATATGGTGAATGACACTGAAGGATATAAAAAATGCTTTCTTGATTCAAGTTGCACACATCAAAAAGAGCTCTCAGTCATACACGATTCAATGCATGCAGAGGTCTACGGAGGTCTACCTCCTGCACCCCCAACGCGGCAAAGCGTTACCCGTTGCCACAAGCACAAGGCAGCAAGGCGCCAGTATACAACTAGCAGTGACGCAGTACGTAGTGACGAATGATCGATGCTTTTCAGAACGAGTTGAATCATTTGTTTTTTTTTTCAGTGAGTTGTACGACTTGAAAAAAATTTAATTGTTAAGGCCATTGAATTTCCAGACGATGAAATAATTATTTCTCCATCAGTAGAAACGTTCAGGTTTGGGCATATGTCTGCTTGAGTGGCTACATGAGTAGCTCTTGCAGATATGCTCTTATTTGGAATTTCCAAGCATTTCGACGGCTGACAGATTAATTATTATTGAAGATTGCATACGAACGTTTTCGCTGCCCTAGCTGTATCGTCGGTGTTGACTAACAAGGAGTCTGGCAGAGAACGTGCTAAAACAGGATCTCATTTGTGAGCAACTTGTTTGATTTCACAATACTATCGTATATTTCGCTATATTTTTGCTTGTCAATCAAGCAATTTAGAGTGAAGTTGATAATTTGAGAGTTTGAAGAATTTTATAATAGAGCTTAATAATTCAAATGCAAAAAACATTTGTGGACTGCTGTGAAGTGTGACCAGTTGGCTGCTTGCTGCAATTAAGCTACCTACTGCAGTACCTTGTCTTTGTTCAGATTAACACGCACTGCGCTATTGTGTTGTCTTCCATAATATATTACGTATTTGACTGAAGAAAATTCATTTGCGAAGGAAAATTTTTAAATTTTTTCTTCATGTATTTTTAAAGTTATAGTTGACATGCATTCAAGGCCTCATTGTAAGTAAATTTATTACTCGGATTCAGTTACTGAGTGATGTATTGTGTAGTACCATTATTAGGTTAGTTACTGGAGTCAGGCATCATTATTAATTCGTTCTATATTTATTGTTAACATTAAGTTTTAAAACGGATTAATTCCGGAAATTGCAATCAAAAGCAGCAACGTCAAAATGAACCTTAATTTCAAATATTTAACAATAGTTTTGGTTCACTTCTTTCTGTCATAGTTGAACGCAGAATTTTGGAAACAAATAGCTCGATAGAAATTGAAGGTGACAATAATTATGTGTCTTGACACGGCAATTAATTTAATTGTACATCTTAAAAATAACGTGATCCAATCATAAGGATATATGGATGAAGTGAAATTGCCTTTACATGCATTACCTCGAATAATTTATCTTCATTTACTAACTGTAATTTCTTTTCTTAGGTAAGCGATTTTTGCCCTCATTTTAGTAAAATGCCAAGCCTAATGGTTACTAGTTGTAGCATTGGTCTATGCATAGAAACTAAGCCTCTGATAACTGAACTGAGCGTACAATGATTCAAATGCCCCCTTCTTCCCTCAGTATAAAGGGGGAAGGGGGATTGCCCAAAGCTCGCTCGGTCTATGACGGGGCTCTAATCAGACGCTTATTATTATTTTAGCACGTACAACCAAAGCGTAGAGCGTACATAGAGCCGCTAATTTACGCGCTGGGCGAGTTAAAAGCGTTTTTAATTCAGAAGCTAACCACCCACACAAAATTTCGATAAGGGAAGTAATTAGGGGCGGCCTATGTGAATGTGCTAGTGATTTCTCCAAACGATATTGAGGAATTCATTGTCATAGGTATCCGTCCATCTCGAAAGATGATAGTTGCGCCACGTCTGACTCCGCACAACTCGCTGTTGGAAGCGCATCAAGTGGCTCGCCAGGGCGATTCGGTGGAATACAGAACAAGATTTTTACAGCAAAATAATATATAAGACTCACCAACGTGCTCGGCGAGGCCTGGTAGGTCGTAGCCATCGTCGATTACGCTCTTGCCAGACATCACCGCCACGGTCAGGGAGAATCCTTCGGGCCTGAGAGCCTCTTTCAGTTCCTTCGGTGGGATAATGCAACATAAGCTTAGAATTCATGAAAATGGAATTGTAGCAGACACTTTCGGGGTATCTTAAAACGAAAAACTTGGGGCAAATAGTGCAAGTTAGAGTTCTGTTAACTAAATTCACTCTAAACAATGAATAAAACTTGTTTTTAGTATCTAATGATAAAAATGAACAACAGGAATGGATTTGCAAAATTATTTCGGGAACCATATTATCAGTGGTTGAAGGGTAAACGCACATCGATCGCAGGGTCGAAAAAGAGCAAGATAAATATACCTTAACTAAAGTAACATAGTTCCTCTTGTCTTCCGGGCGACCTTTTTGAATTTTATGAGCTGGGTTTTGCCAGAAGATATCCAAGCCATCCAATTTGTAACGCCTGCCACGAAAAAAAAAGCATTTCCAGTTAGCATCGGTTTACCGCTTTCGTGCATTGTTGTACGGCATTTGTTAGAAATTAGTGAGTCAAGATGACTCGCTCGGTAGTGCTATCTGAAATCGATAATTATTCCTCTGACTGGTACTTGCGGGACAAATTAAGATCCAAATTCTTCTGCTCCGACAACAAACTTGATGAAGTAGATATCTACTTTACGATATTAGACATTCTTCTCGGGATGAATATTGTCGTGTAGCATTAGAGAATAAAAAAAACAATGCAAGTATTTCATCAAAATAGATCGAATAAATAAGAATTTACAAGCGCAGCAAAAAATAACAACGATACAAGATGTCAAATGCTCGATTCGACCATTTTTAATTTCTAAGTTTATACATATTAGGAATATTTCAGTTTCAGTGCAAAAAATAAAAATATTTTAGTGCAAAGTGTCACGCATGGATACCAAAAGCAACGTTTTTAATTCCTCTGGCGAGATTCAAATTGACCGACCAAAACTTCTGTCCAGCATGAAGTATCGAACGAGAATAATCAACCGAGTCCAACTAGACTAGCCGCACAAAAATGTAAAAAATGATCGACCAATTGTAGAACATCACAAAATTAACGGAAAATGTTTATACTGATTACCTCAAATTTTCTAAAACCGAGTTGATGAAGGTTTTTCTTGTGGGCCGCGAGGAAGCCATCTTGGAAAATCCTTCGGAGCCTTCCGTCCATCCTCCAATGGCCACGGTGACGTGCAGCGAGGGGACGCGTGCTTTTATGGCAACGAGTTGCCTGAACGCTCCTGTTGACATATGGAGATAAATTTAATTGTGTAAAACTCATTAGATTTATGATTTGCAACTGCTTAGTATTTTCTAAGCTACCGAAAATGAGCAGTGTGTTCTGCTCGCTTGCAGAACAGTATGTACCAGCAGTATGTCGTTCCAAAATTGGTAAAAATGATTTTTATGTGATCTGAAAAAAATACTTATTGTTTAGAATCCATCCTAAGTCAAAATGAAATTACTATGTTTTCTGGTTTCGGATGAAATGCAGTATTTTCTGATAGTTGCTCTCCTTTGATATTCACAGGTGCATATTTCATACTACTATAGTGACAGAAAATATATATGACCGTCACGCAATTGCTCCAAGGTTGCATATTCCAAACAACTACTCACAGAAAATAGAAATGATCATCACACAAATCGTTGCTACAAGGTTGCACGCTCACCTTCAGTGTCGTATTCAGCTTCTAGAGAAATGGTTGATCTGTCGTCGTCGAGACCAGCAAAGAGGAAGACCAGGTGGGTGCAGAGGCTGGGGTCGATGTCATCCAAACTGAACTTGCCAGCACCAACAGGCCTGAGCACTGACCAGCCCTCGATAAAGCAAGATATCACGGGACTACTTCCAGTAGAAACGCTGTGCTGAGCACTCATACCTGTAGAGGAAGCGAAGGCATTATTCTCATACGTGGCATCAAATCAAGAACATACTCAGATCAATTTATTTCATTCTTTCGCACGGCCGTCTATGCAGATTAGCACTAACAGTTCGACGGTTAAGATGAAGATGTTCTCCGATGTACACTATTTTCAATACAAAAGGTATATTATATCATCTATAAAATATAAAAAGTGCACGTTAATAACGATACGAAAAAATTAAACAGACATTAATATTGGAAAGGTAAACATAACTTGAATCTCTATTTCAAAGTATATATAACGACAAAACTTTCTTGGAGAGCCGTATCCTGCAAAACATGTTGTGCGCGATCTCTCCCAATAATTAAGCGGCTACGATCGCTTAACTCCATTGCCGCAATGCAATATTTAGCACGACAAAGCGATAAACTCTCAGCAGTAAAAAATAAAATTTCGTTCCGAGTAATTGATGTAAAACCTCCTGAATATAAATCGATCTCTCGGAAGTAAAACCGTTATTTTAAACCATAAATCGTTGTTTTAAATCGTCTCGTTGTTCCACTCACCGATGAGGGTTTTTCATGTTTTATATATTATATTTTAGTTATCTAAAGCATTCAATCTGCTTCTAGTGTTACTAGCGCATCGCGAGTTAATGTCAAATTCTCGATTGCCTTATATTTTCATCTTGCAAAAAATAATTCCGCATAATTATAAATAAATAGATTCATCATACAGTTTGGCTCTTTTTAGCGCATTTTCTGATTTATGGAAAAAATGTTCTATTGTGCCCGCCATGTCCGTCTGTCCGTCCGTCCGTCTGTCCGTCCGACTGTCTGTCCGTCCGTGACTTCACGTTTTCGTCGACGTGAAAATGCGCTCTCTAGCTGCCACTCACTGCAGTGAGTACCGAGTTATATTTTTTTCAACGTACACTGCTTCTTTTTTATCTCCGTTGATGCAAATCAAACCATTATAGACATCGATTTAAATACATATCAATCCGTAGCATAATAATTATCGAATTCAAAATAAATTTTATAAGGTTGAAAAATTTCCCAGCCCGGTTCCTCCAAGTGCTATGCTCAAAGAACCAGCCCTCGCATCACTTTTAAAACTATTGTCTGTTCTTCCAAGCAACTATCATCAGATGATGATGATGTTCAAATACAATTTTCATTATCTAGCATGTGAAGGTTTTGCAACACTTGAAATTGAACTTTGTGGATGGTATAGTGGATACAATTTAAAATATAAGATTAAAATTACTCTGGAAATACTTTCAGCGTCCGGACGAATCCTGTAGTTTGGGGGCTGATAGCTGGAAACTCGCCCTTGATAATGAGGGCTTCAGACCCATCTTCCCGATGGGTCATGGCCAGGGCACCGCGTAACTATGCTGGTGCAGGCCTCCAATATGTTGCTCGGGTGAAGGTCTCACTGAGCCTCCCACATGTGGTTCTTAGGTCCTCCAGATTGTAGATGGCATGTGAGTCGGCGGCTTAATTAAGGTCGTACTTGTTAGACCAATGTATTTTATATTTTGAAGAAGTTTACAAACCGCTTTATTACATGAGAATTTATAAACAACGCCACTTCTATAAACTCTATACTTCTTGAAACAGTCCAATTTTGTTTATAAACTGGGATTATTTTATTTTTGTAATAGATCAGAAGTTTTATTTTTTCGTTTTCCGTTGTGCGCTTGCTATTATTATGGATGATTGACTGTAGGACTCGTTCATCCACTTTGTAGCCGCTGTTCATCTGGTTTTGGTAGAAGACCGTTGTGATGGTTTCACTAGATGCTTCATTATTGGTTCGTTTTCTCTCGATCGGTAATTTGCAATTTACATTGTCAACTGTTCCATTTTAAAACCCATTATTTACTAGGATTTGTTTACAAGTTCTAAGTTCAGTTTTCAAATCACTCTCGGATGTGCAAGTCATGAATTCTCTTTGGATGAGAGCGCGCACTATGCTGGTTTTATTGCGCTGAGGGCATTCTCTTTCTTCGTTAAGAACTTTCCCGACATCGGTAGGTTTTCGGTAAACATTAGTGACAAAGGAAATATCTTCACTTCGCACTAATGTATCTAGGAATGGCAATTTGTGATTTTGTCCTATTTCAAAGGTAAACTTCAAGACTGATTCATGTTCCAAAGCTCTTCACAGTTCGATCATGCGAGTGCTCTTCGTCTCGAATGACAACAAAATGTCATCTGTCAAATGCAGGCCTCTTCTCCGAGCTACTCGGACGTGGTGTCTCGTGGCGTCCACTTACCTCAGGGTTCCTCTACCGGCCACCGCTCTTCTGTCCTCAGAAATAATACGGATGTCCCCACTGACGATGAGGAAAATTCTAAGGACCCGCCAGTGTTGCGCTTGGAAAGACGACTCGATTGTGTTGAGCAAGAATCTCTCGTTAAAGTTATGGCTTGTCATGGTAGCTTTGTTCAATCTATCGTCGATTCTTCCATCGTTAGCGGGACTGCGAATAAAGCTGAGGCAACGCGGAATCCTGAACATTTGAAGAAATTATTTGTGGACAAGGTGAATGTAATTGTTGACGATACTCTTCGTACCGTGGATGTCGAGGGAATAGATATCATCGGTAAGGACAAAAAACACCTTCGAGTGTCCTTCGTCACCAGGGAGGCGAGGAACAGGACTTTGATTGCAGTGAAGAGAAAGAAGCCTGACAACCTATTTGTGAACGAATACCTGACCAAAACACGAGCTGCTCTCTTTTACAAGCTAAGAACGCTGAAGAGATGCAATGAGTCTATAGCGAAGGTATATGCATGGCATGGTAAGGTTTGTGCTAAGACTATGGATAGTGACAAGATCTCTTAGCACCTGTTTTAGCCCATATTTTTAATTTGTGTATGTCTACTGGAATCTATCCTGATGTCCTAAAACGTGCCCGTGTCATACCAGTTTTCAAATCCGGCAACTCTAATAACGTGTGCAACTATCACCCCATATCTACTCTACCTTTACTTAATAAGATTTTCGAAAAAATTCTGCACTGCCGACTTACAAATTTTCTTGACAAATTTTCACTAATATCTGATGATCAATTTGGTTTCCGTAAGGGCACTAACACGACTATGGCAATATTTTATCTAGTCCAAGACCTGCTTATGGCATTTCATGCAAAAAACTGTGTTGCTTTTTTACACGATTTGCAAAAAGCATTCGATTGCGTAAACAATCAAATCCTCCTAAGTAAACTCTACTGTTATGGCATCAGGGGGCCTTTTCATTCATTCATTCAATCATATCTAACCAATAGAGAGCAATACCACCCTGCAGGAGCAGGGTGGCTCGGTGGTTAAAGTTCAGAGTACCAAGATTGGCGCAGCGAGGCGCGGGTTCGATCCCAGCTCTGTGCGCCAGTTTCTGGTCAGAATCGGCGAGGAAGCCCGGCGGTTAAGCACAGCAGAATTGGAGCAGTGAGTTGCGAGTTCAAGCCCACAAAATGTTGTGAATGTTCTGTGATGTTAAGAATCGGCGACAGGCCTACGGCCGAATAAACGCTGAAACCGTTATATTATTATAATACGTTTCATTCAACGAGTTAAAATCACCCATTAGACCAATTACGATTGGAGTGCCACAGGGCTCTGTTCTCGGGCCTCTTTTCTTTAACATTTTCATAAATGACATCGCCTCTTCTTTTAACGTGAACTGCAAGCTCTTTGCTGATGATGCCGTTTTCTATGTCTCGAGGAGCTCCTACGATGAAGCGTGTGATCATATTTCGAAGCTAGCAGTGAATTTGTCAGGGTGGCTCAAGAAAAATAGGCTTGTGGCTCACACTGATAAGACTAAGTTGATGCTTTTTACTCACAGACCCGTTTCCTTTCCACGCGAAATCACTTTTAATGGGACAGTTTTAGAATGGGTCGATGATTTTAGATATCTTGGTTTAATAATCGACAATAAATTTTCCTACAATAAACACATTACCTACGTCTGTCAGGAGCTGAGTAGAGCCCACGGTGTTTTGCATGCTCTATCAAGTGTTTTACCTCTTCCATCACTAAGAACGCTTTTCTACTCAATTTCCGTATCTAAACTGTCGAACACGTTGGTCATATGGGGTGGGGTATCTTCTAATTAAAAAAAACGGGTCATCACATTAATAAATAAATCGTTGCGTACTATATTTCGGGTTAGGTGTGATGAAAACAATATCCCTTTGACTCGTACTACTGTATTATATATAGGCAGTCGAAAATTTTAAAACTTGATGATATGTACAAATTTCAGCTTTTAAAATTCATGAATATGGCACTCTTCCACGATGAACGTCTTTTTAATTCTGCATTCGCCTCTCTTATTCCCCCACATTCCCATGACACCAGGGGCATGCATTTTAACTTACCCCCGGTTCGGTTAGAAATGGAAAGAAACGGTACAGTTTTTAATTGTGTGAAATATTTTAATGAATTACCTGATGATTTTAAAATTGATTGTTCTAAATTCAGTTTGAAGGCTAAATTCCGTGATTTTATTCTCACTCGTTATTAATCTGACTCTGATTAGTTTCGTAAGATTTTTGGTAATTGCCTTTTCTCAATAATATTTTTGAAAAATAACATGGCGTAAGACAACATTGTTTCGACTTTTCGTCTTAGTTGTATTTAATTTTTTTATGTAGGGTTGTTATTGACTTTGTTGAATATCATTTTTAGTCCATGCTAGTTATTCTTATATCAGTTTTACTAAAGGTTAGTTTTTATCAGGATGTTTTCAATTTAGTCACATTCTCTTCCCTTTTGTCTTATCCCATCGTCATTATATGTTATTGTTTTTCGATTGTAATATCGCTAATGTCGCCTGTGAAGCTTTTTAGCTTATATGGGCATTCGCATGGAAGCATTTTGTATTTTTTTTCTCCAAATTTTTGCCATTTTCTTGTTATAAATTTTTTTGTATGCTCCTGCGTGAATAAAGAATAAAGAATAAAGAACAACAGGCTATATAATGCAATATTGATGTAT